GGTTAGTAAAATCAAAATTTAAAAATAGTTTTATTGGCCCAAAAGTGGTATTTATTAAAGTGTCCCGAAATTAGACTTTTTTTTTAAATTTTAATGGGCACTTTTTTTTTTCCATTTTCTGATGTCCCCTAATTGCAAATATATAAAAAAAACTCAGCTTCGACAGGAATGGCTGGCTATAGCTTGCATCTTTTCTACTACGATTAAAATTTTGGATTACTCTTGTTTGTTTGAACGAACAATGAATTATAAAAGTTGTAAGTGCATCATTAAAGTAATAACACTATCACTTTATAACACAGTTAGTGACTATAGTGCTATTAATTTTGTAGTTGTAAATTTATTGTTTTATTTTTTCATTACTTTAGCTGTTATGATTTCATTATTTATATTTCTTAATGCTTCGTTGTGTCCCGTTACACTTGGGGAATTGAAGGAGAAGGATCAAATCTGTGTTGCATAAAAAATATCTGGAGCCAAACTAAATGTTGCATATTGACATAAAAAACTGGATGTAGTTTTTTGAAAGCTTATTGATTGGGTACTTCAGGAGAAAAATCATTCCTTGGATTAGTTGAAACTGTGTACTTTTTTTTCTCACCAAACCTATTTTGTTTATACTTTTTTAGTAGTTAGTACTCTAAAACAAATCAATATGTCCTCATAAGAGGGTCCACAAAACAAGTTACATTAAATTTATTATAATATCATCTTTAAAAAAGTTTTAACTAATTAATGTTTAATATAGATATATATAATTTTTTCAAAAGGTATCATATAGTTTGTTATGATAAAATTAGTTAATACAATATTTAGAAAAAAAAACGGTTTGAAATTATTGCAGTAAATAGTCAAATAGTTTTGGTATAGACTGTTCAATGAACCCTCATTAAGTTAGGGTTCACTGAACAGTCTATACCAAACCATCTAGATAAACTGATAGTCTTCTAACATATTGGTTTGCCGATATCCTTTGAGAAAAGGGGTAAGAAAATTGGTATAAAATTGTGGGGCCTGAAATTGTGGGATCTAAAATAATGTTAAAACCTTAAATTTTATCAAAAATTAAAAATTAAGATTTTTTATATTATTGAAATTGAATTCAAAAATTTTTTTATTGTTACGTATTAACTCAGTGGACATCAGACAATAAAAAAAATATGCTAGGAAAAAAATATATTTTAGTTTTGAATAACATAATTTTTATAACTCTTTACTAACAACCCTAATGTTGCTGTAATTACCATTAATAGTGCAATTACTATCACTTATATAAACACTATGGTATTTTGATCACAATAATACCTCATAATATAAAAAATGTGTTGGTTAAGTTTACCTTCACAGATAGCTATTCTAGTTTGATGTCATCAGTAATATTTCATGCATAAAAATGTGCGGTATGAAAAAAAATATTTGTATATATACATTTATATTTTCTACAATAAACACAATCTTGAGCATCTTCTTTCCTTGATTTTCTTATATCATTATTTATAAAATATAAATTAGTATATATATATATATATATATATATATATATATATATATATATATATATATTTATATATATATATATATATATATATATATATATATATATATATATATATATATATATATATATATATATATGTATGTATATATATATATATATATATATATATATATATATATATTTATATATATATTATGTTAGTGTATTCTACAAATAGAGTGCTCGTAGAGTGCAATGTTCTTAAAGAACAGAGCATTCTACTAGAGCTAATTCTATAGGTTGAAGATGGACCTACTGATGAGAAACAAATTTTTGAAGATGGACCTACTGATGGAGAAACAAATTGTTGAAGAAAAAACTAGATCAATGTTTTTACTAATTTATATTTATATAAATTAGTAAAAACATTGATCCCATTTTGTAGCCTAATTTCACAGTTTGTGTAGAAACGTTTCAAGTTTATGTGTTACGTTTAGCATTTCTATCTTTTCAGGTTGAGATATGGCGCTCACTTCGAAAGAAAAGGCATTTTGCGTGTTAGACTATGCTTGGACTCAGTCACCAAAGACAGTGCAGCGTGTCTTCTTCACAAAATTTGGACTCACCAATAGTTAATGTGTTTTATGCAATATCCAAGAAAAAAGTTTATGGGCTCATTTTTCTTAGAAGGAAATGTGAACGGAGATGTTTATCTTCAAGTGCTTCAAAATTGGCTAATTGGTCAACTCATAGAAAATGAAGAAGAAAGTTTCATTTTTCAGCAGGATGGGGCTCCACCTCACTGGAAGTTCACTGTATGAGCCTACCTCAATGAGGTTCTGCCAGAGAGATGGATTGGTTAAGGTACCAAAGAAGATGATTTGCTTCTAAAATGGCCAGCACGATCACTCAACCTTTCTCCAAGTGACTTTTTCCTCTAGGATTATATGAAAAGACTAGTCCTCATATCTCCTCTTCTAGCTAACATTGAGGAACTGAAACAGAGAATTACAGCTGCACTGGAAAATGTTACAGAAGACATGCTACAGCAAGTTTGACACAAGCTTAAATACCGGTTCAACGTTTGCAGAGTTACAAGAGACGCTCATATTGAATATTTATGAATATTTGTCATAGAACCAACAAATATTTGTACTTTTCTTTGTAAATTTAACCAATAAAACTTATGACCTTCAAAATATAGTGTTTTTAGTTTTATTAAGATCCATCAAGTTTTTTCCAAGATATGGGTATTTAGAATAAGGTCAACCATTTTGGAATACCCTGTATAGATATATAGATATAGATATATAATATATAAATCTTTTCTGTATTGCATGCAGTACAGAGCAATATTTTATTGCACTTGTATAATGAGAATGGTCTGTTATATAAAAAAAGTTTCTAATGCTACAACTGCTAAATCTTATGAGATAGGGAGAACAAAACTTAACTATGTTATTATTTTATTGGTCTTGTGCCTTATATACACAGACATTTAACAAAAAGTATCAAGAAATTTTCTTCTTAGATTGTTGTGTTTGATGAGAGCTTGAATGATTCTTTTCAAAATTATCAGTGGATCTAAATATTCAGTTTTAAAATAGTGATCTAAGTTAAATTAATTCAGATATTTTTGCCTCTAATTTTAGGATCACCCGACCATAAAAAATTTACTTGAGTGTATGACCACATCTTTGGCAACAATAAGTAGCATAAATTTGATACAATTCTCTATGAATATCATAAATGATAAAAAATGGTCGATAAGTATTTCCTGCCCTTTAATAAATTACATAAAATTATTAATTGGAATACAATTAAAGTTAGCTACAGTTGTACAAAAAATATGAAGTTTTAAATAGTCACATCAATGTTTGTTAAACAAAAAAGAAATTCTAAATGAAAAAATGACAGAAAATTGTAATTGTAAACAAAAAAACATTTGTCAAATGAGCAGAAATTGTTTATCAAAAAACATGGTATATAAATGTGTTGTTTCCTCTAAGAATGTACCTGATAAACAGTATATTGGCTTAATAGAGGGTGAATAAAAAAACGTTTTGCCAATCATAAGCAATTCTTTTTATAATAAAAAGTATTCAAAAGGCACCATGCTTTCAAAATAAATGTGGAATTAAAAGATAAATATATAGATAATTTTATACTGATTTGGTCCATCCTTAAAACAGCACTTGCATATAACAATATTTCCAAATAATGCATACTAAGCCTACAAGAAAAATTTGAAATAATTACACATACGAACCAAGAATATTTATTAAACAAAAAATTGGAATTGATTTCTAAATACAGACACAAAAATAAATTTCTCTCAAAAAACTATGAAAATAAGTGAGCTCAAATAATAATTACATTAAATCTCCCCTTTAAAAAATATTCTAAAGAATTCTTTTTAAATTAGTGTCAGCATATTCAGCAAAATGTGTGAAAACTTACAGTAGTTAAGGCATTTACGATTTCCTGTAATTTTATTTTTGGTTTTTGATTTTATTTTTTAATTGAAGTTTTATTGATTTCTGATGAGTCTTTATTGATGAAACACAGTGTTAAAAATTTTTATTAAGTGATTTTCTACTAATATATATATTAAATATTTATATATATATATTTATATATATATAAATATATATATATATCATATATATATATATATATATATATATATATATATATATATATATATATATATATATATATATATATATATATATATATATACATATACATATACATATATATATATATATATATATATATATATATATATATATATATATATATATATATATATATATATATATATGTATATATATATATATATAACTTAAATAATGATAACCTAAATAATGGTATCCATCAAAAGAAATGTTTTTAATTTTACAACTAATTTAAATTTATATTGTAAGTTACAACATGTCTAAAATAGAAAATTATAAAAGAATATATACAAGTCATATAGTCCATATTATAGAAATGATTGTTCAACTAACCCTCTAGTTTATCATATAAAAAAAATTAAAAATATCTTCTAATGTTTTATATAGAAAATTTAAAATAAGTTTAAAAACCTTTGAAATTACAAATAACAGTGTGTAATTTAAACTGTGTTAATCCATTTGCTTTCTCTACTAAAATTTAGTAAAAAAACAAATGGATAAACATAATTTAAATAACGCTTTTTTTAAATAGCTTCACATTTAGTCGAAAATTTCGACAAAATGTGAAGCTATTTAATTTCACATTTCAACGAAATTTGAAGCTATTTAGAAAATGGCAAATTAAACTTACTGCAACAAATTACAATTTAAATGTGGTTTAAGAAAAAGTCATTTTAAAAATTTATCATTTATAAATAAAGAACTATAACATATTGACAAATCTAAATCAAACAAACAAGTTTTAAAAATATAATCTACAGAGAAAGCACTTCATAATTCCTTATGAAAACCCTTTTTAATAAAAAGTTCAGTTGTTTTTCAACGGACTTGAATATTTAATCCGTTGAGTTAATTAAAAATTTTGAAGAATCCGTTAATAGTTAATTTTTTTCCGTTAATTTTGTGATTTTTGGTTACAAATTACTTCTTTAATATAACAGAATAAATCAATCCATTTCTTTTTTTAACGGATTGTTTTTAGAGTGTATATATGAAGTGCAATAATATGTCCAAGAAAGAAAAAATAATATTTAAAGCTAATTTAAAATATTAATATATATATATATATATATATATATATATATATATATATATATATATATATATATATAATATATATATAAATTGTTAATAATTTGCTTTATTAGTTACTTATTAATTCTGGAGCTGATTCTCGTTGTTTGGACAATGATGGAATGAATCCTTTGATGTGGGCATGTTATTTTGATAAAGCAGAAAATTTTGAGTTACTTTGTAATTTTGCATTCGAAAATGAAACAATTTTTGAATCTTTTGACACTGGAGTTCAGCTGTGTGATAGCAAAGGAAGATGTGTGTTGCATCATAGTGTAATGAAGAGTGAAAGTAACCAATGTTTAAAAGTAAAGTTTTTTTATATTAATTAGTTTTACCTAAATTATTTAATTTAATTATTTTTAGTTTAAAATTACATTTAATAACACCACAAATATTTATAAAAAATTGATTGAAACAATTTGTTGGGGGATAATAGGTTTCTAATTATTAGAGAGATCTTGGCTATTAATTATTCGGGAGAAACATAAGTAGTACTTAGAATCTTGAGTTATGAAGTTGTTTCATTCTCATGATTAAATCAAAAGTTGCAACAAAGGGCTTTGTTGCAACTTTTGGTTGCAACAAAGGCAACAAAGACTTCGATAATGTATAATAAATATACAGAGCACAAGAATGGGCACCATCCTTGTGCAACATGGTACCATTAGCCTTTTTGAGGTATACTACTGAGTTTGGTAAATCTTACTACCAGCCACCTCAGAACCAATAAAATCAGTTTTATATAGTAACAAGGTGCAGGTCACATCTCAATATAGGATTTCCTGTGCAAAATGAGAATTTTCAGTGCCCCAAAGGAGGAAAGTATCTTAAATTTAGAGTTTTTCTAGTCTTTGCATAAAAAGACAAGTGCTACTAGGCTGCAAGAAATTTATCAGGTTATACTGGATTACATGTTACTAGTATCAGGGTAATCCTTATTCTTATTCAACCAGAACCTAATCTGATCATGTCTAATAAAGACCTGATAAAATTGAACAATAACATTTCATTAATAACTTTTCTAAAATATATATTTGTAAAGATAATAGACTTTGCAAAGGGTAGCTAAAGTATTGAAATTAGGTTATTGTTTTTCTGACTTGAATATTTGGATTGTTTTCTGTGAAATTTATACAATAAAGTGGTTTGATCCATCCCCACACACTAAATTTATTATTTTCTATTTGTGTTTAGATGTTGCTGAAGCCACATTATAAAGAAAAAATTGATAATGAAGGAAAAAATGTTTTACACTATATAGCTGAGCATGGTAAGAAATCATGTTATTATGATTTTATATTTAACTTGCTATCATGACCCATGCGATACGAGTTGTGGTCACACCCGACTATTTATTAACTTCTTAATTTGGTCTCTATACTTTATTTCTTTCTTAATTTTCTTTATTTCTTTCATAATTTTCTTTATTTCTTTCTTAAATTTTTTATTTTATTCTTAATTTAGTCTCTATACTTTAATTTAGTAAACGGCAAAAAATTAATCAATTTAAAGCTCTTGCCTTTTGGTTAACTATTAATTTGCTATACCTAAGAGCTGTATTTATTTCAATATTTTTTAAACAATAAAAGTATTTTTACTTAATAAAAGTTGAGTAACAATACTTCAGGTGTTTTTAGAAACTTAGGTTCTAACAATACTTCAGGTGTTTTTAGAAGCTTAGGTTCTAACAATACTTCACGTGTTTTTAGAAGCTTAGGTTCTAACAATACTTCAGGTGTTTTTAGAAGCTTAGGTTGTAACAATATTTTAATCCTTTCATTAAGATTCATTTAAAATTTGGACAAATTTAGAAAAATGAGTTATTTCAAATAAGTTAGTTTTATCTGTTTGATATTTTTTATAAAAGCTTTTCTATAAAAAAAACTCTTAACAAATTCATTCAATTAAGCTGTTTTTACTGTCAAGTTAGGCAAATAAATTATTAAACCTGTTGTTTGTGCCAAAAATCGATACTTATCAATACTCTAGATCATACTAAAGGTGATAAAAGTATATATCCTTTCAAAACATTAACTCCAAAGATAAAAAATATAGAAATTTACTTAAGAAACAAAAAACATATTTTTCTTGAGAAATAAAAACATAAACTTAAAAAAAGAAATTACAAAATAAATATTATATTCAAAAATACTTATAAAAACAATTTAAATTGAAATATTGTTTCATTATTAACTTTTAGTAAATGGTATGAAGATTATCAAACTTTGCTTTAGCTTTTTGAATACAATCGACATTCAAAACATTTCTTAAATTCTGCTATGTAGGAACTTTTGAAAATCACTTACAAGAGAGGGAATTCAACCTAAAAACAAAACAAAATTGTTAATTGAATACACTTAACACACATTAGTTTGTTATGTACTCTATTTATTTATTTGGAAACTCAAAAATGTGACTAAACATATAACAAATAAGAAACTTACTTTGTGAGGTTGTTTTTCTTTTGTGAAAGTTTGAAGATTTATTGTTGCAAGTTTGGATTAACAATTCTTTTTAAAAAAGCAAGGCTAAAAATAAATGATCACAATAAGATAAATCTTAGTTTTTATTTGAAAACTGAATCCTTAGCTCAGTGGCGGATTAAGACTTCTTGGGGCCCGGGGCTATTTTTGTTTTTGGAGGCCTTTTTATGAGCCAGAGTCTAAAAATGACTTGAAAAAAAAAGTCCTCTAAAATTTTTTGTGGGCCCCTTAACTTGCGGGGCCTAGGGCTATAGCCCTTCTAGCCCCCCTTGATTCAGCACTGCCTTAGCTTTTTAGTGAATGATTTTATGTAGTCAGTTTCAGTAATAAAACTACCCAATCAACCAATCATTTTAAACTAAAGACACCAACAAAAAAGTAAACCAAGTCATCTATCAACACTACAAAACAATAACATCACAAAATTAAAAAATAACATAGTAAAAACATCATAAAATTAACAAACAACATACCGTAAACTCTAAATTACTCAAACCTTAAACAGACCAAGAAATTAGCCTGTTAGAGAATGTTAAAGTTATTGGGAGTATAATCCATAAATAAAGGCTCAAATAAAATTTTAAAATTATTTTAAATTATTATGGGTTATTGAGTTATCCAGTGTTTATAATATATATTTTTTAAATTACTAACAACCACGCACAGAAACACTAATAAAATATAAACCCATATATCCTTATATAACACATAATAAAAACATACATTACCATATCATATGACACATAAAAATCCTTTTTAAAAACTACAAAATTACAGAGAATGTCCTGGTCATTTTAAAAAATATACCGAAAAATACACTAATAAATTTTTTTTTGTGTATTTAAGAACATTTTTTGCTTTTTGTGTATTTAAGAATATTTTTGTTTATATCTCAATGAATAAATTGATTTGGTAATTTTAATTAAAACTCATTTAACTACATATATTTTGTGAATACAAAAAATTGCTTTTATTCAGCGTTTTTTGAGAAATTGCTTTTTAGCAATTTTGCTCAAATTTTTTTTCACATAAAGCTGAGCAATTACTCCAATTTGTCTCGGCACTTGGGAATCCCTTTAATGATAAATACTCGTGTACAAATAAGAAAAAATTATTTGTAAAAATAATGCCTCATCCTAAGTAAAATATAGCATAGAGTAACTGATGAACGATACCTTTAATGTTTTAGTTATTTGATGACAAAAAAATAATACTTTGAACTTTAAACTATTTGGATATCCGGAAAAAATAAAAAAATTATAGAAATATCCAGAAAAAGATAATCTTTGAAATTAAGAACATTTAAAAATACAACATTTGTGAAATTTTCATTAAATGACATACCTTTTTATGCATGTTTATCAAATTTAAAAAACAAATTATTAAATGACTTGGTTCTGAAACATGCTTCATAGAATTGGTTGTATGAAAACCAAGGCATTTTTAAATTAATAGCAACTTTATCAAATGTTTGACCCTGACTTTTTTTATTGTCATTGATTATTAATAATAAAAGTGTCATATTCAAATAATTTATATATTTAATATTTTCTTATTTAAATATATATATATATATATATATATATATATATATATATATATATATATGTGTGTGTGTGTGTGTGTGTATATATATATATATGTGTGTGTATATATATATATGTGTATATTATATATATATATATATATATATATATATATATATATATATATATATATATATATATATATATATGTATATATATATATATATATATATATATATATATATATATATATATATATATATATATATATATATATAAATTATCTAGTGGGAAAATACTACTTACAAAAAATCTAATATTAAAAAATAAAAATAATAAAAATGATTAATCAGTGTAATGAGTCAAGTATAAGTGAGTACAACAACTTTCTTGTTGTAACAGAAGAACCTGCAACTACATAAAAAAAAAAAATTACAATAGAGTATAAATGTTTATTCAGTATTGTGCAAATTAGTTCGGACAGTGGTTGAAATAACACAATTATTTGCCTTATATTACTAGACTACAGTAAAACACTTATTTATCTGAAAAAACAAGAGAATCTTTAGTATCATAGCTAAAAGTTTGGCATATTGTGAAAATTATTCCAATTTTGCCACTGTCTGAACTAATTTGCACAATATTGTAACTATTAAATATTAAATATAAGTTAAACAACTAACTTATTGTACTCACTTATACTTGACTTGTTATATTGATTGATTGAATTGAAAGAAACATTTGTATTCTGCAGCCGTTTTTCACAACGTCTTATAATGCTTATTACGTATTTAAAGAAAAACACAATTAAAAAGTATTTATAAGGAGAACCTCTTTGTTAAACATTTTTGGAAACAGATAATTTTTTTCTTTATTCTTTGAAAATATTTATTTAATAACGTTTATAGGCATCTAAATTAGCTTATTTTGTGTAAAAGTCAAAGTTTTTTTTTTTTTACCTTAAGGCGTTTTAAAAAATGGCTGCAGTATAAAAAAGTAAAGATGTACAATAAAAATAATCAATTAAGTCAAGTATGACAACAACAACAAGTATGACAGGAACAATAAGTATGACAACAACATCAAGTATGAGTACAACAACATATTTGTTGTAGCATAAGAAGCAGCTGAAGTTATATATAAAAAAATATATACAATAATAATACAATACCACACTTGCTGTAAACAAAAAAACAAAAAAAACAATTAAAAATTGAAAAAAATTATTAGGCCTGTCTGCTCAGCAAGTACTGCTAGCATTAAACGGTGGAATGTAATCCTCCGTCAAAAAATCCCTTTCATTACTTTGAAACGCATTTTTCAATAAGTAAATACAAAACTAATAATAGAAAACCTCAAACAATCATATATTTGCTTTAAGTGAAGAAATTTGGAAATATTGAAACTTCTTGAATTATTTTAATTTTTTTTATATATTTAATAATCTAATGAAAATAGGTCAACAATACAATGCAGAAAAATTAAAATGTATGTATGTTTGTATGTATGTATGTATGTATGTACGTAAAGCATTAAAATATTATAGAGAAAACACTCTTTACAAAAAATCCTAAAAATTTATGATACTAAAATCTATGTTATAATGCTTTGTATACTTACCTTTATAAAAAAAAGTTGAACATATTTAATGAAGAAAAATAGAAACTTTTAAATGTTTAAATGAGGAGGAGCTATTATTAAGAAAGAAGCATGTTTTTTAACAAAATTTATTTATCAACATGAGCATAACTTGTTAACAAAACAGAAAAGAGTAAATATCTTTTAAATAATTTTTTTTTTTAAATTAACAAAATAGAAATTGTTAACAAAAAGGAAGAGTATATATCTTTTCAATGAAATTTACTTATATATTATAAATATTAATATTATAAATATTAAAATTATAAATATTGAAAAAATAATAGATAATAAAAAACTATATATCTTATCGGCATTTCTTTTAAACACATTATTTCAACAGTATTTTTTCAACACATTTTATGAATACACTAATTACAAACAGATTTAATGTATGTGTTTCGTCATTACAGTACACCACTTTACTGGCACGGACAACATTCTTGCTCTCAAAAAAGCAAGTCACATAGCAAAGTACGCCACTTGGCTAGCAAGTTCAACACTTGCTGTAAACAAAGCCAAGTCACAACAATTTGAAACTATGCAAACAGCAAAATAATTACTTACAGACTATACCCACATAACATTATAAAACATCACAAACATAGAAACACTTCACATATAAAAGATATTTACACACTTGCAAAATATAAAACCATATAACCTTAACACATAATAAATAATACATAAATATAATTAAATATATAAGTTAATAAAAATGTATAAATAAGAAACATTTATAAATACATCCTTATTTTTGTAATATTTGTTTAATGACATACCTCATAATAAGTGTTTAAGAACTTTAAAAAAACAAACAATCAAACAATCTGGTTTCTTATATTATAAAAGCAAACAGATTTTCTTTAATTTCTTTAAAATAAGGTATTAAACAATCTTGTTCTTAAACATGCAACATAGAGTTGATCGTGTGAGATGCACGGGTTTTGGAGATAAACATTAACTTTATCAAGAGTTTGACCTTTAAAAAGAGCATCGTCTTCTAGAGTCATTGTCTTCTAATTTTTATAAATAAAAATTACTGATTAATATAATTTAAATACAATTGACAAAAGACTTGTTATTATTAAAATGAATGAATTAAATTACCTAGCTTTAAAATTTAAATACAGTTTACAAAATTGAACTAATATAATTTAAATACAATTGACAAAGGACTTGTTATTATTAAAATGCATGAATTAAATTACCCAGCTCAAAAAGTTACTATACTAATTTAAAAATAACATAAGGTTTATCCTTTACTACAGTAGTCATCAAGTTAAAAAGTTTTCGATCTTATTACTGATTAAGCAGATATTGACAGATTTAAGGATACCTCATCGCGTGGTCATATATATATAAAAAGAAATATTAAAAGGCCAAGTATACTAAATCTTTTTTATAAAACTCATTGTAAATGCACACGAATGAGTAACAGCAGCAGTGTTAAGTTCAACAATAATATATAGTGATAATGTTGATAATTTTTCAATTTTTATTACTTTTTTTTTATCAGGGGCATGTGAAGCTTTAAAAGAGTATTTACAAATATGTGGTAATGACTTTTTGAATTCTATTGATTTAATGGGAAGAACACCATTACATTTAGCTTGTATATGCGGCCATGGGCAAATTATAGACATGTTGTTGAATAAAGGAGGTGAAGATTTTTTTATGTAAAAATTGAAAATTGTTTTTTAAAGAAAACATCTAAATATTTATATCAAATTTTTATAATTAATTGAACAGTGAGTACCTGTTTGTTTCACAAAGTTTATGACTAAAATTGTTATGTTCTTTAAAAACTTAAACTTATTTGTTTATTTGTTACATATATTTCGTTTCTATTTTAGCTTCGCTTGATCTAAAAGACAGACAGGCCTTCACTCCTTTTGATTATGCTCGGTCTAAAAATCTTCATTACTGTCATCTTGTTTTTCAATACCATCAAAAGTATAGAGAGAAAAATCATGTTATTGACAGCAAGAAAGTTTTATCTAACTCAAAGCCAGTACAAGCTGAAAAAAACCCTAACCTAGAAGAGTATAAATGTCTAATTAATATATAGTTATATATATATATATATATATATATATATATATATATATATATATATATATATATATATATATGTATATATAATTATATATATATATATATATATATATATATATATATATATATATATATATATATATATATATATATATATATATATATATATATATATATATATATATATATATATGTATATATATGTATATATAATTTAATTTTTAATTTGTTTATTCAGAATTAGAAATTTACAATACAAAAATTATTAAAAATTCTAATGAAGTAGTGTGACACCAGGCATTACTATGCTGACAGCTTAAAGACACACACTGTGTCTATTGTTTGTTATTTTTCCATCAATGTGATCCTTGAAGGAATTTAACGAGATTGCATATGCTGCTTTTACAGGAAGCGAGTTTTATGCATTTATCACGCGGTTAGTGAAGAAATGCTTCCTCTCTTTGCAATTTTTGACTACTTGCTTTATTAATCTTTGGTTGTGTCCTCGTAGGCAGTAATTTACTATTGATGGCGCATACACCTGTGGTACGGCAAATTCTATTTTTTCGATGCCTTGAACGATTTTAAATTGCTGAATCAAATTACCTCGATTTCTTCTTTCTTCAAGAGTTGTGAGTCCAAAGATTCGGAGCCTCTCATATGATTTATGTTTGATTTCTGTGACTGTTTTTGTTGCTCTTTGTTGAATGCATTCTAGCATAATTATATCTCGTTGTAGATGTAGAGACCAAGCTTGTATAGCAAATTCAAGATGTGGTCTGACATATGGTGTACAAGACTTTCCACAAGGAAAGTCCTCTGCTTCTAAAAGCTTTTTTAAGAGAGCCTAACACACAATAGGCTCTTGCTGAGGCCACTTCTACTTGATATTTCACTCTCAAGTCATTAGAAACAATTATTCCCAGATCACTTTCAATATTGGTGGTTTCAAGGGTTTTCTGTTTCCTAATCGAGCATTGTATAGTCTTGAGTCGATTTGTTGATTAGGCGTCCAACATGCATGACTTTGCATTTTGCCACATTCAACTCCATGAGCCATATTTTGGACCAACGTACTACTTCGTCTATATCATTTTGTGAATATATATGTATGTATATGTATATGTATATGTGTGTATATATATATGTATATATATATATATATATATATATATATATATATATATATATATATATATATATATATATCAGGGTTGGCAAAAACCCGGGTTTTTTTAAAAAAAACCTGGCCCAGTGGGTTTTTTTTGGGTTTTATTGGGTAAATTTGGGTTTTTTTGGGTTTAATTTTTATTTTGTCTCTGTAAAAAAAATTTTTGTGTCTTTGTTTAATGATATTGAAAATTAGTTTTTTTCTACTTTAACTTTATTTAAAATATATTTTATATATTGTTGTTTAATTATTTATAACAAGAACTTTTCAAATTATTTTGAAAAAAAATTTCACGTTTAATCTATATGTATTGATTTATTTTAAATTTAAAAGTATTATCCTATATAATTAAAAATGTCAATGAGAAAATGTGAAAAAGAAGGCTTGAGAATGGGAGGTAGTAACTGAAGTTTCAATTAAACTTTAAACTTAAAATTCAAATGAACAAACTTGTTCCTCTGCGCAGCGGCCTTGTTTATAAATATTCATGTTTAGGAGTTGAAGAGTTTTTTTTTTTTTTAATTAATTCACTTCCTCAAAGCTTAAGGCCACTACAGGCGAGGAGGCTACTTATTTGTGGTTATAACCCTCTCTCAACTCTATAACTCCGAAACACGAACCTTGACAAATAAGGCCGCTGCGCGGAGAAAGGAGTTGAGCGCGGTACTGCCAGGGACGTGGTGGGGATCGAACTTGGAACCTCTCACTTATGAAGTGAGCGCTCTACCACAACACCACTACCGCAAAAGAGTTGAGAGAAGGTTGTAACCACAACAAGGTAGCCTCCTCGACTGTTGTGTTGGCTTCTCTGGTCACTACTACTCATTTAAATTCAACTTGGGAGGTGAATAACATAAAGTAATAAAAATCTCAATCGATAAAAATATTTGAATAAAAATTGTAATAATGTATTTCCAAATGATTCAAATAATAGTAAACCTGCTCTGATAGCTGTTATTGTTGGTTATAATAGTTAATAATAATAGTTAATAATAATTAAGTTAATAATAATAGTTAATAATTATTTTAGTAAATAATATTATAGTTATAATGTTAAAGTTGGTTATAATAGTTCATAAACTTATTAAATATCTTTAAAAAAACCCAACAAAACCCAGATTTTCCAGGGTTTTATTGGGTTTTTTTAGGCGGGTTTTTTTGGGTTTTATTGGGCGGGGTTTTTTGGGCGGGTTTTTTAATGCCAACCCTGATATATATATATATATATATATATATATATATATATATATATATATATATATATATATATATATATATATATATATATATGTGTATATATAAATTAGTAAAAACATCTAATTTTTAGTTGTCTTCAACAGCATGTTTCACCATAAGTAGGTTCATCAAGAAGCAAAGTTTCCTGATGAACCTATTGCAAGCAAATGATGAACCTACTACAAGCAAAGTTTCCTAATGAACCTACTTATGGTGAAACATGCTGTTGAAGACAACTAAAAATTAGATAATTGTTTTTACTAATTTATATATATATATATATATGTATATATATATATATATATATATATATATATATATATATATATATATATATTCATATATATATACACAATTGTCATCATGTTGAAGACAACTAAAAGTTGTCTTCAACAGCATGTTTCGCCATCAGTGTTATATATTATATATATATTATCATAAACAAGTGTTTTCACTAGTTTATTATTGCTCTGTTCTTTGAACATTGAGCACTCTATTTGTAGAATACATTGACATAATTTATATATATATATATATATATATATATATATATATATATATATATATATATATATATATATATATATATATATATATATATATAATTATATACATTGACATAATTTATAATTATATATATATATATATATATATATATATATATATATATATATATATATATATATATATATATATATATATATATATATAATTATATACATTGACATAATTTATAATTATATATATATATATATATATATATATATATATATATATATATATATATATATAATTATATACATTGACATAATTTATAATTATATATATATATATATATATATATATATATATATATATATATATATATATATATATATATATATGTATATATATATATATATATCTATATATATATATATATATATATATATATATATATATATATATATATATATATATATATATATATATATATATATATATATATGTATATATATATATATATATATATATGTATATATATATATATATATCTATATATATATATATATATATATATATGTATATATATATATATATATATATATATATATATATATATATATATATTATATATATATATATATATAATACATAATTATTGTAATAATAATATATTATTATTATTTTATTTTTTTTATCTTTTTTTAATAATGTTTCATAGTCTTATACTTTTCAGAACTGAACAATATAAAGGAAGAACTGAAAATCCTGAACTTAAAGAAAACATCAATTTAAACTTAAGACGCTTGTCAATTGATTCTAATTTGGATGAAGACTTTGATGTACATGAAGGTTTAGACTATGAAGACGATGATAGTAGTTTAACTGAGGAAGATGAATTTCAAAAGAACAGTCATAATAACTCAGTTTTGAAAATTTTATCCCCTAAATTACAAGCCTATGAGAGAAATACATCTCAAGAGGGTTTTGAAAATGACATATCAACAATCAAAGATTCTCACTCTGAAGAGTTTTCTCATTTAAAAGAAGAAAAACTGCTCGGAGTTAATAAAAAATCTAGTTGTGACAATAGTGATTTGGATGATGCAAAGCTTGATGTTGATGCAGAGGAAGGTTCTATTTCACCTGTTCCTCATTCACATCTTAGGTAATCCTATTTTATTTTATTTTTTTTATTTTTAAGGAATACCTTCTTGCAAATAGCTAGATAAAATATATAAAAATAAATAGATGTAATAAATAAAAATACAAATGTGTTAACACTAATTTATTGCTAGAAACCGAAAACCCACAGAAATATCAAAAGTACAAATTGGAGCAAAGTTTGATGAAAGAAAAGATAGCAAACCTTTTAAATTTGATGATAGTCAAAAACGCAAACAAGTAAAAAATTTCTACAATTTTTAAAGATTTCTACTAGCTTTAATAATTTATTAGTCTTATAAGATTTTTTTTTAGTTTTGCAAAATAAGTAATAGTTTTTTAATTACTTTTTTTTTAAATAGTATTAATTGTTTAAATTAAACTAAAATAAGTTAAAGTACAATTAATTGTTTTATTGTACAAAAATATTATTTGTTACTTTTTTACTGTTTAAGATTTTATTTGTTCTGAAAGGAACTATTAATAGCATGCTTGGATAATAAATTAAACTGGTGATCTTTAATTTGGAGATTCAACTCCACATTACTTTTAAAAATGTTTTTTTCTTTAGATTGTCCTATTAATTTGAAATCTTTACTATTGCCATTTTTTTTTTTTGCACCAAATATTTTTCTTTTATATTTCTTTATCACCATTATCATCATGGTTATATTCAATGTTTTTCTTGGATGAATATGATATATATATATAAATTAGTAGAAAATCACTTAGCAAAATTTTTTCTCATATAACACTGTGTTTCATCAATAAAGACTCATCAGATTTCTGATGAGTCTTTATTGATGAAACACAGTGTTAAATGAGAAAAAATTTTGATAAGTGAATTTCTACTAATTTGTAATTGCTCTGTTCTTTTAAGAACATTGAGTACTCTTTTTGTAGAATACATTTTAAATTGTTTAAATATATATATATATATATATATATATATATATATATATATATATATATATATATATATATATATATATATATATATATATAATTTATATATATATATATAATTTATATATATATATATATATATATATATATATATATAATTTATATATATATATATATATATATATATAATTTATATATATATATATATATATATATATAATTTATATATATATATATATATATATATATATATATATATATATATATATATATATATGTATGTATATATATATATATATGTATATATATATATATATATATATATATATATATATATATATATATATATATATATTCAAGCCTTTCCAAGAAGCGTGTTCAGCCGCACGCCTTGTTTGTCCACGTCTAAATTAATTTCTTTAGACTAACTGACCACGGCAGTTTGCATCTTTTAACTTATAAAGCGTTTCATTATTTTGCAACTAAACTTATTTACTTAGAAAAAAAAAAAAAATTCTTAAAAAAGGAAACAAAGTTGTAACAAAATATCAAGTTTAATTAAATAAACTTGAAAATTTAAATATTAAAAAAAGTAAATTAAAAAAAAGATTTTTTTAAAATTTTTATACCACTTTCTTTTCTTTAGAGTTTGTTGAAAAAAATTTAACATTAATTGAAAGTTTTGATATGTAATTTATTCATGATTTTTATCAGTTCATATTAATTTCATTAAGAAACTAATTTACTATGTACGCTAGAACTATAAGAAATTTTTTTTCTTAGGTTTATTCGTTTGTTACATTTATTTGTTTTTATGTCTTTTTGGTTTTAAAAAAGTTTTTGCTATATTTAACACTTTTTCTCAATACTTATATAATAGGAAAATAAGAAAATAAATTGTTATTTATTTGTAAAAAATATTATTTTATTAATAAATTTTGTTAATGACGGAATAAGTTTAATAAAAGAATAACTTCTTTAATAAATGTATTTACCGCATTTGATGCATGTAACAGGTGACAACTAAAAAACGAGAGACTTATCTCCTTAAAGGAATAAGTTTTTAAAATTTTTTTTTTTTTAATTATCTTCGCTTTTAACAAGGTTGCAAGCAACCACTAATTAGTGTTGGAAGTTACTGGAAGAGAAAAGATGAAGATTGTAGAGCAAGATAACGATTGACAGACGACTTAAAATATTGCAAATTATATGAATCAGGAAAGCAAGATGAAGGAAACGAATTCCAAAGAACTGATGTTTGAGGAAAAAAACTAGACGAATAAGAGTTTTTGGAGCACTTAGGAACAGTAACAGAAAAAGGATGAGACTTAATTGAATGACGAGTAACACGAGAATGAATTTTAGTAGATAGCACAAGAGACGCTAGCTCTTTAGAGCAGTGCCTATTATAGTATTTGTAGAAAAGAGAAAGAGAAGCAACATTACGATAAAAATAGGAAAACTGTTTTAGAAGGTATTTTTATTTTAGTTTTTAAATATTTTATGTGTTTTTATTTTTTTTATAGAAAAATAAATAAAAAAATAAATTCAAAACAAGAAGAGATTAGAAAACGTTTGTATGAGTTTTATTCCAATTACAAAAATGGTGGTAAAAAGTTCACTTATGACCAATTTAAAGTTGAGAATATACCAAAAAGTACTATCTACATGATAATTAAACATGCTGAAAGTGGTTCTGGGTACCAAAGAGTTCAAGGAAGTGGAGTAAAAGCTAAAAAAAATGACCAGGACAAACATTGAAAGGCTCAAACTCATATTTGACCATAAAGACAGAGTTTATCAATGACAGGCAGCTAAAAAGTTTAACTGTACTCAGCAACTCATTAGTAAAACATTTAAAAAAAGAACAAATATTAAGTCAAGAAAAAAAATGATGATTCCAAAACGCTCTGCAAAAAGCAGAAGCTAGAACAAAGTGTTGATTGTGTCAGAAATTCAAAAATTGTAAACCAATCATTGACGATGAGTCTTATATCACGTTAAATCACTCCAGTATCAATGGAAATGATATATTTTATACTAGTGATGTAAAATCTACTCCATCTACAGTTAAATACCAAACAAAACAAAAGTTTCAAA